CAGCTTGGCAAGAAGACACACAGCATGCAAAAATGCCACATTTCTAAAAGGATTCCTGCATGGGGGTCCTTCTCTCCCCTCTTCACAAACACGGCAGATGTGTACACCAACAGTATCTTCCACCTCAACTCTATACCCTCCATGTGTTTTTTTCCAAGGAGCTGTGGACAGCTGGGAGGACCGACATCCTCCATATGCAGAGCTTGTTACCTTGAGGCTGCCAGACTGAAGTCTTGGCTACACACAGGACTGCATATGTTTGGCTAAACCTGTATTGAACAATTTAGTTCACAGTCATGAAGGCTGTGTGATGCTTTTATTCTGATTCGACTGTGCTTTTATCACATTTAAGTAAGCTAATCAGCAGTCAGGTGAAGTCGCGCTGAATTATACCATTCCCATACGGAAATTAGTATCGACCCCCCTATAGGATTTAAGCTGGATGCCATGACATATAATGTCAATGTATAAACCTCAGTTTACGTATCTCTGAGCTGTATGCTGGTTTTGTTGCTATTTTATATATATATAGCAATGCTTATAGAGCTTTTTATTTTTTTAATGCCAAGAAAGCTTCAGTGAACTGAATGTAAGTGAATCCAGTCCAGATCGGGAAGGACCAAACATGTTATTTGGTAAGGAGAAGTAGTGGCTAAGGGGGTATAAAATTGATGGATGGATTTATTTTATTGCCCTTTGGACACGTGCCCATCACTACACCCCTCTGGTTTGGCACTCCTCCCAGCCACCTCAATAAGAAGAGCCAGGACTGGCTGAGGGAGAGACATACCCACTGATTTCCAGAGGCAAGCCCTTAGGATGTGTTTGTGGGTTGATTTGGGAAGACCCACAAAATCCAAAGGCATTTTCTGAATTGGAGAGGAGAGCGGTCTCCAGCATGACTAAAGAAGCCCCTTTCAAAAAGACCCCTTTAAAAAAGCCCGTGGAGAAAAAGCAGTCTCACCCCTGGGATTTGTAAGGGTAGCATCAGTGCCTTTGCCTCCATCTCCGCAGCGGGTGTCATCGAACGGGAGGCACTGATCCCCGGTTCCAGCCAAGACCTCTGAATTCTTCACAATGTCTTTCACTGACGTGGTTGACTTGATTTTATAGATACGTCGGCTGTTGGTGTCGGAGAGGTAGATGGAGCCGGTGATTGGATCTGTGGTCAAGTAATATTTATGAGCCGGGCTGTGGCTGAAAAACAAGGGTATGACGTTATTATTTTTTGGATGATTTCTTTCCTTAAGTCAACAGGCAATGCAAGCACTTTAGAGAATAAAAATGCACAGGGCAGGCAGACTGGGAAAGTGAAGCAGTGCCGTATTTGACAACGTTAGTACACAGTGTGCTACAGCACAGGACCCCGAGCTATATCTGTTACCAGTCACTGTGCCTGGGCTGCTCTCTAGCATGGAGGGCAGCTACCAAAGGGCTCACTGGCCCGAGCCAAAATCATGCCAGGAACCACTATAGGTTGAGTTCTAATGTCCGGGATTGCTTAAATTACTTAATATAGACATAGTCGTGAAACTATTGTTAGTGCAGTGCTAGAAAGTGAAGGGAAAGCATAGTACACTAGGTGCAGAAAATAAAGAAAAAAAAAAAATTCTGCCCTCCCAAGAAAGACCCAGGACAAAAACCCAAAAGCAAACCCCCAAGTATAAAGCACTTGAAGATATACTCTTGAAGATCACTGCATCAGGGCTTATCTGGCGCTCTTGCTGACTCCAGCAAAGACCCTAGAGTCCTATCCTGCCCTTGTGGAGATTAGGGGGAGTCCGGCCACTGAATTCGGCTGGACCTCAATGAAGAGAGAAAGAAAATGGTCCTTGGAGTGCCACATTTTGCCTTAAGTAGCAACATGAACTAGAAGAAGGGCTGAGGAACCCGAACATCAGTCCCCTGTTAAACCCCATGCACTCACTGCTTCCTCAAAAATGAGAAAGGGTGGCTGCAAAAACGGAGTGAGCAGACAGAAAGATGTCTTTAGCTCCATGACTACAACACTAAATGAGCCCAAGACTGAAAAAATGAATAAACTAGCAACCACTTTATGGAAAGCATTCAATGGAATTGGCCAGAAAAAACAACCAGATGAGTTTAGACACAATTTGAAAAATTATCTTTCAAGGATTTTATCTATAGCTTAATATAGTTATTAAATTTATTAACTTCTTTTATTAAAATCAAGTGTTTACTACTCGTGTGTATTGAGCTACATCTCTTCTAAGGCTGAAACCAACAGATTAAACGTGTAACACCTGCTGTCTGAACACAGGTCTCCTTCCTTCTAAGAAAGGCTAAGTAGTAATTCGAACAAGTAGGAAAAAGTCTCTACTTTTCTCCAGAACACCTTCAAGCTGTCCAAACTCACCAGGTCCCAAGAATTCTTAATAAACGTATAGGCCATAGTTCACAATTTTGCACTGAGTGGAATTGTTCCAGGAGAAGCTGGCTAGAAACCTGAGTGTCGATCACAGTTGACTCTGTCCCTCATAATAAGAAATTTCCTCTCTCCTTCAACCTTTATGTTAGGAAAATTAACACCTCTTCAGACACATAAAAACTACTGAATTATTCTCTGCTTAAAAAAGCCATAAGTTGGTTCTTCATTCAAATTACTTAATACTTTGGGAAAAAAAAAAACCTTTCTGATTTATTCTGGAATATCCCTTGTGATTTATCCTATTAAAGTCTGAACAGATTTCATCTCCACGAATGACACTGATTCTGGCTAAATAAAATGCTCTGACCTTCAAGACAGGTCCAGCCTGACAGTTCAGTCTCCATCTGTATTCCTTTCCAATGACAGCAGGCTGGTAGGGTATTATTTCATTTACCTGCATGTCACTCACACTAAGCAAGTGGCTTCAACCCTGGTGGAAGAAGTTCCCTGTGGGAATCCATCATCCATTTTGATCAGGGCCTTGCATTTTCCGCTGACTGTCCTGACAAAGCCCAGCTGAATGTCAGTCAGCTTTTGAGCTGTTCATAATCTCTATTTTGCATGGGAGGTGGACAAGAGGAGGACATTTTTAATGGCACTTTGCAATTCTTTAGCATCTTCATCTGGAAAGCCCAGATAGCTTTCACTGAGTCTTACAGCAAGCTGTTTGCAGATAGGCAAAGGCGAATGACTTTCCCAAAGATTAAGAAAAATGGAAGCAGAACTGGAGGTTCCCACCTCCCCCTCCCAGCACTATCATTGTCATTTATTTTTGGATTTCATAGCCTCACTCTGGTGGATTTTATTATTGATTACAACCTTCTGTGGAAGAGAGAGATCTTAAACTATTTTCTAATCCCAGCTCCTGTGGAAAATGGACACTGAAGCAAATGCTGGTTTCTTTTAACCACAGGTAAAAGCAAAATATTCATCCAGCAGAAAAGCTGAATGGTACTTCCCACGTAAATTTACTAAGTAAAAAACTGTCATATTAAGGTAATACTTTGAGTAGCTGCTGGTAACCCAAGTTTAGTTCTACTAATGAGGTGCTGAATACAGATTCCTCAAAAAAGTAGGGGTGAGTTCAAGTTCACAATCATTGAAAAATTAGCTCTGACTGGTTAAACTTTTAATCCTCTGCATAGCTGGATGCCACAGAAGCACACACACCTTTACAACTGATGTGCTTTGGAAGAGGTGGAGGTAGAAAGTTATGTTGGTTAAACTACCCATGGGATGGTAGTCATCTTGGGTCACTTAAAACCTATTCTGGGTTTCACCTGGTGAGCTGATAGCAAAACTCTCCTAAGACATACAATTACTTTTGTAAATGTAATGTTGTTAATGGTATTGGCAGCCCCAACACAAACCATATCTTTTCTGCTGCATGGCTCTGGGTGAGCGATAGGAGGTGCTGGTTCCTTTTGATCAGCTAGACTTTTTATTTTTACGAGCATGGCTTATCATGGTCTCCTACACACCACTCCATGCACAGGGCTTTTGCGGGTGGAAGGCCCCCTGGGATGGCTTAGGCAATGGAGTATTTAACCTGGAATGCTTTGGAGCAAGGATGGTAAAACACAAACCTTTAAAAATGATCAAGCTTGAATTTACCCCCCTGGTCTCTGCCAACAGTTTTCACCACTGTACCGGGAAGGTGTCACGATCTGCCCTTGCACGAATTGCATAGCGTTATACACCGGAGCTTTTGTTTAACACTTTGAGATCCTTCAGGATGAGAGATGCTAAGTAAACATACGTTAGTAATGTAAAAGTTCCAAACTGCTTCCCTTCATTTGTGATAATGCATGAGCACTGGAGCCAGGAACACTGAGGCTTTGCTTTTCATTTAAAGCCACAATCAATAGGCAAATCCAAGTTGCAAATTGGACTGAACTGAACAACAACTGAAATAAATCTGCCTGGGGTGAAGCAGAGATTTTTTTTTTTTTTCCTTTCATCCTCTCATTGCTCAGTTATCTAACGGACCAGAACAAAAGACAGGACTTTTTACTATTCAGAAGACTTAATCAGTTACAGTATTTGTAGTCTTAGAATATTTATCCCCCGTATTGACACTGCCACCACTAGAAAAGGGCTGTGGGTGAAAAGCTGATTTCCCATTCAGATCGTTCCTTTTGCTATTACTGAACACTGCATTGATATTTTAAGTCTCTGAAGCAACAAGCCAAAGTTGCAGGGACGGGGTGGGCTGGTTCCTAGCCAAGAACAGACACTTCAGTGGGTATTAGTGGGCATGATGGTGTAGTCACTGGGAATGAAGACAGTTTCATAAGCAGAAGTTCTGCAGGCCAAAGTGAAATGGAGGCCAAAGTGAAATGGAAGTGGTTGAGTCTCCATCCCTAGAGGTATTTAAAGAATGGATAGATGTGGTGCTCGAGGACATGGTTTAGTGATGGACTTGGCAGTGCTGGGTTAACTGTTGGACTCGATGATCTTAAGGGTCTTTTCCAACCTTAACGATTCTATGATTCTATGATATTGCTTCCTTGCACGCTTGTGATACAGTGATGTGCTGGGAAAGCACAGGGAAATCTTCCAAGTCCACAGTGATCCCAGTTGTTTGGGGTTGCATATAGGCTCTCCCATATGTCTGCCTTGTCCCCTTCCTTTTTTCATTCTCATTATTCAGACAGCATAGTACCAGCACCATTTGGGGAGCTCTGCAGATATGTTTGGAGCTTCAAACTCCTTTTTAAACTGCTTGTGCTTTATATGATTCCTTACACAGAGGCGTGAGGAAGGAAAGAGATAAAAAGTTGGGTAAACAGGCAAAGAGGTGGCACTCCTCTGGATTTCTTCTGTTGTGCTATAACAGACGCACAGGCTTTAAGCAAAAGTTGTTATTGTTCCCTTGGGCCCAGAGCCTGTGTTTTGGAGGAGTCTAAGGAAGGAACCTCCTGCTCCAGAGTGGGAAGCCAGTCTCTAAGGAATAAAGATGAGAAAAGGGAGATGGCCCCTGGTTTCAGCAGGTTACCTACAATGCGTCAGCACAGCAGACTGCATCTTTTCATTAGCTTCTGTTCAAAGCCAGGGGATTCATCTCACCAAGCTTTAGACGGTTACAGGGTGGATGTTTACATCTGAACTGGCTGCCTTAACTCCCTTTATAGGCAGTGGAGAGAAATAGCATCTTTTTGGGTATGGTTTGTCTGACTTATTTTCAACATTTATCTTACAAGATGAACTGCATCTTAGTTTCCTAAATGCAAGGGCATCTACCACCTTCTCTAAAGGACAACTTCTGTTAATGGTAACAGTATGGCTCTGGCTCCCACTGTGGTCAACAGACAGGAGCAGTCACAACACCAAAGTTAGTTACCCATAACAGATGATCTGAATAAACCCCTGGGGCTTCTTTGGATCTGATGTCTCTGTTTAAGGACACGAAAACACCTCCGTAAAACTTTCTGTGCTAGCTGCCCTCTTCCCCTCTGAGCCATGCTGGCCACATGCATTTGCTGGTGACTAAAGAACTACCGAATTCCTGAAGCCAAGCGGTTTTTGTTCGGCAGGGCTGTGTTTCCATGGCTCCATGCTAAGCACCCTGCAGCTCACAAACAGAGGATTTTATTATAGCTTGTGTGAGGTACTGGTCTTTTTTTTTCCCTGGGTGACATTCAATAGATTAATACATAAGGAGGCCACACAGTGCAGTGAGCTGAATTTACACTTGGCCTTTTAGTGTTTTCAGTTTGTGTGCAATGCCCAAAGCTCTTCTAGTGTCACAGGCTGGATAATAAAACTTCATAGCAATGCCATAAGCCAACCCAGGGACTGCAAAGGACTTTTGATCTGAGCCTAGGGCAGTTTTCTCAGATACCTCTCTTTGCCACTAATTGTAGATTTGTCTCTCCAAGGTATGAATGGAAACAAGAAAGGAAGAATATGTTTAAGTGTGGCCACTTTTTGCATATTTGCAAGACAGAAATGCCTCCCTGCCCTCCATGTTCCTGCAGAGAAAAGGTAATGATAATTAACTGCAAATTATTATTGCCATGCTTGGAAAAAGTCATTAGCTTCTATAGGCCCATCAAGACAGGTCCATACACAGACATACTGGAGTTAAGTTCTTATTAATCTATTAGTGAATGACGGATGGGTGTAAACTTGGGAGGCATCACAATTTGGTGATGCTTTTTGGCTTAGCTAACATCCCCCATGTTGACACACAGCCATTTTGGCTGTTGCAGAGTTAGACCTTGGCTACCTACGCTGTGCTGTAGAGCCAAGCCTCTTAGTTGGTAGCTCCAGAACCTCTGGAGATCAAGCTCACCACAGGCTACATAGTCAGGAAGTGACTGAAGCGAGGAAGCTTTTGCATATGGATTGCAGCTTTTCCAAACCACTAAGATTCAGTCCTGTGGATCTCATCCTTTGCAACTGTTGCCTGTCAACGGTGTCAAGCTTAGGACTTTCTGGAGCTCAAAGCGCTGGAGCTTTAGCTAAGACTACACCCACTCATTTCCTTGTGGCTTAGGAACGAAGAGGCTTCCTAACAAGAAATATTACAGCAAATGACGCAGAACAGACACTAACTCACATGGATGACTCCCTTAATGTAGTCACAGATGGGAATATTTGATCTAGAGCTCCTCATCTCCTTCTCCTCCCTCACTGGTCCCCTTTGGACTGCACTGAAGCAGGTGTTTCTTGGCTTTCTTTCATTTAATTTCTTAGTTTTTAGGAATTGCCTAAAGGCTGAAGCCCTGCCAACTTTGTAAGGCTCTGGTGGCATCACAGCATTTGTGGCCAATCCATATATCTTCAACTCAGTTATTGCCTTCATATATAAAAACTCTTCTTGTAACAGGTATTCAGCTGCTGCCCTTCATTGTCAAAGCAGGTGCATTTTAGTGGCTGTGTATTTCTAGGGCATTAAGGATACAACCTGGCTGTTCCAAAGAGAAATGAGGTTTTCTATTGCCTTCAAATGATGTGAAAGAGGAGCTGGGGGTCTGGAACTCAGCCTGATGAAGACAGTCAGTGCAGAGGTCTTGTGTACCAACCTCCCAGCCCTGCTAATAGACGCTTTGGGCCAGTCCATTATACTGTGGAATCTCAGCCCTTCATTAATGTTCTGGCAATAAGACAAAAAACCAGTTTCTACACCATTGCATTTCCAGGCATGCAGATAAAATGAACATTTCTGGGTTTGCACAGCCTCTATAATGTCAAAGAAACAGTAAATAAAAAGCACGTAGCAAGAAAAATCCCCAATCCCAATGCAAAAAGAAAAACAAACAAAAAAAATCCCAACTCCACAGTCTAAGCTTCTAATTTAGAAAGCAACCAAGGAGAAGGATGGGAAACTTGTCAGAGCCAGAGAAGTCCTTGCAAACACAGACAGTGACAGGAGGTTGACATCTTCCTGAATACAACTGATTGGATCAAACTCACTGAAACTCCAGTGAACCCAAATGACAAATATTCTCAGTGACAAAGCTCCAATTTAGGAGTCTTTCTTTCATCTTGTTTCCTTGTCATTACTCTTTCTCTTTTTTATTGCATTTCCTGACTAAGGTTCTGAGTTGCACTACCTCCCATCTGAGCCTGACATACTTTCACATAATGTGAAGGCTCTCTATGAAGAGCTCAGACTGACAAAGAATTAGAAAAACTTACTTCCCTAGGTGGGCGATGCTGGGCTACATCTGGCCCTTCATTATGCCTGTTACACTCCCCAAAACTCAAAAGGAAGACATTTCACCATATGAGAATTATTTTTCCATCATAGCTATCCCAGTGACCTGGATCCTGATGGTGCCCCTACTTTGCTTTCTTGGTTACTTCCCACCCGCTTTTCCTGCCACCCTCCTCCTCTTGTTACCCTGCTTCTCGTGTCTATACTTCCCCTGTCTACAGCTATAACAGCTCATGCAGAAGTCTGTGCAACTCTGTTCCGTGATTAATGGCTCCCAGTTCTGATGACTGATTGCCTACGCCAGTTTTAATCATGCCAGCTTCATTTGCTATTGAATCATCTGGAAATGGCACTTGTGGCTCACTGTGTAACAACATGCAACAAGACAGGGAGCGGCATAAGAATTCTCCACTGGTTGGCTTACCTATGTCTGAAATCTTTATTTCTGACAGAAGACAGGAAAGCAGGGAATAGAAGAAAGAATGAGGTGTTAGCAGCTCAGTTCGATGCATTATTAGCAGATTGAAAACTTGACAGTAACTGTATCATACAATGCAATAATAAATAAAGACTTAGCTGGAATGACACTGATATATTTTATATTGGATATTACTTGGCAGTGAGCTCACTTATGTACCACTGCATGTCACAAAGGAAGCGCGATCTCACCTGCTTGGAGTTATTCACTTATGCAGGAGATCGGACGAGGCAGGCTTTACCGTTCAGAGCAGTACTGAGCTAAATATATGGAGATGCAGACATCTTTACAGTTTTTTTCACTCTCAGTCAAAGCAATACCTTGTGATCTACAAAGGTAACTTAACAGTTGCACAGTTATGGGTGGGAGTTCATTGCCATAACCTCGTGAACCCTAGCCCAGAGGACTGAAATTATGCTGAGCTGGACGTTTTTCATGGGTCTAGTTAAATACGCAGCCACAGTTATCTGCGACCCACAATGCATTTGCTTTCCTCTCTGCAACACAACGCTACACTCAAAAGACACCCCCCCAAACAAAACCCGAAAGCCAAATAGCGAATCTCCAAGGAGATGCTGATTTGAGAAGACACAAGCAAACTCCATTTAGTCCAAAAGCAATGGCTTTCCTCCATAGCTTTTAGTCAGCCTGCATCTGAACCCACTTACTTTATAGCACACCAGAGTGAAGAAATGTTTACTAGATCCAGTAACCTAAGTGTTTGCACAGATGAAGCAGCAATCGTTCCAGCAGATTTAATTCTGGAGTAAATTTAACTCTGTGGCTCTACACAAAAGCCAGCAAGGCCACTCTGTCAAGGCTTCCAATTTTCTCTTTTCCAATCAGGAAATACTCTGCAAAACCTCCGCTGGGTCTGGTATTTCCACTGACAATGAAACAGGGATCGGGTTTTCACAATTGTACTTCTGGGAATGAGATATTAATCCCACTCAGTTGCAATGGGATTTGGGCCCCAAATCACCTAGGCTCTTCTGGAAATCTCACCTTTGGCTGTTAAAATAACTTTCTGGCACTGGAAGAATATTACATTCTTTAACGTGGACCAGGGCTGAAGATTTATCCCAGCTTCCCACCTTACAAACATGAGAGACATTATGTTCTCGTATATCACGTAACAGAATAGCAAGAATCAGGTTCTTGCTTATTTACTCAAAAGGTACCCCAGCATTGTGGGCTTCCTAATTCAGTGACTCCTCCTGATTTTCTTGTTGCCCTGTGAGCATACCAAGACAGCTATTCTGTAAGTGCCAGCCTTGTGATGGCTATCTGGATTTTTTTTCTCATACACCATCATCTATGATGCTGGTTCTGCGTGCCAAATAAGACCTTCAGCAAGGTCTAATGACTGTGGCGTGTTTCTAAATGAGGGGCTAATGGGATCTTGCACCAACTTTGCTGCAGATCAGCTCTTTCACTTTTACCTGTGGCCTTGTGGAGCAAATGGGAATACAAAGCACTGCTTTATGGGACCCTGCTGCCCTAGTAAGCTGTCTAGTAAGCTTCCACATGGCAGTCCTTGCAGAAATGGAGCCTTACTTTTGTCCCCAGCAGCCAGGACATTAAATCTGAGTAGAGCAGGGAGATTTTTACTTTCTGAAAGATTCTCACTTTCAGGCTAGATCTTGAGAGATAAATGGGAATGTGAACCTTCCCACCATGCTAACCTCATATTGACCTCTCAGGACGTTAGGTCAGGTCCCTCAAGCAGAGAAGCCTCATTCACAAACACTGGTTTAACTCTATTGACTTTCCTGGAGTGAGTCTCATCTGGTCACAGAGTCCAGAACCAGGCCCTGGTGCTTTGAAGTGGGTAATTGTATTTGTTGTGGAAATTTTAGATAGGAAAAATATCCCCAGTGAGGTCAATTTGAAATTTGGATTCAGTCACAATCTATTTCATTTCCTCAGAACTTGTGACAAAACTATACTTTTCCCTCCCTTTCGTTGTTTTCAATGGATGTTCCTTCACAAGCCTCCCTATTTCTCCTAATAGATTTATTTCCTTTGTTATTTGGGGTTAACACTTCACTTACTTTCAGATGATCCATCTATATGTTCATCCTGACACTGCTGTTCAGCTGGGAACTGAGGGGGACCGATACATTTGTCCCAAAAAAACCCAACTAGAAAAACCCAGTCTGTGACTCCCTAGGTGATCATCCTGTCTTAATCATGAATGATCATCTGTCCTGATTAACCTCTACATATCATCATCAGTGCTGTGTCCTTCCAAGTTGAGGTTATCTCAGAGGTTGATTGTTAATTTTAAGAATTCCCACTGGTCTCTATCTACACCAAAAGGCAGACATCAACGTAGTTTGATTTAGCAGCACAGAAATGTATGAATATTTTTGGTGTGTAATTCAATTCTGGAAGAACTGGTTAGGCCTGTGTTTCTCTGGTGTAAATCAAAGTCAGCAGAGTTGCAGAAGAGGCAAATCTGGACAGCTTTTTTTCTGTTTTGCTGTGGTTTTTTTTAAGAGTTTTGCTCATTTTCCTTTTGGGTACATAAGATTTCTGCAGAACTTAAGGGCATAATTATAATGGCCACATTCAGCACAGTGTACCTCAGCTCCAGTATGTTGGTGACATTGCCAGAGGGAAAGATCCTTCGGATGTAGTTGAAATCTCCAACATAAAGACTTCCATCAGACCCACATGTTAGGGCAACGGGAGCCAGGAGTTTGTTCCCATCTGCAAGACCATTGCAGCTTGGACAAGAAATGCTACGTCTGCGGCCGTTGCCCATAATGCTTCCAATTACAGGCGGCTGCTGGGAAATAAACTGGTTTTCCCCGTTTCCTTTATGTAAGATGCCTAGAGAGAGAAAACAGTAATAAGGAAATTAAAGAGAGACAGGGAAACTGAGACCAAAGGGAGCACAAACTGGCAATGCTGGATGGCAGCAGGGGAATTTGTCAAATGACAAGGACGTGGTTTAGTGGTGGACTTGGCAGTGTTAGGTTTACGGTTGGACTCGATGATCTTAAAGGTCTTTTCCAACCTAAATGATTCTATGATTCTAAGGAGGTTTATCATCTTTCATAGTATTGTTTTGTGATGGTTTCAAATGAGGACGCCCTTATCTGAAGTAAGTATTTTTTATAGACCCAATACATTTCCTGCAGAACAGAAGTATGTAGGGAGAACAAGACTGTCTTTACCTTTGAATGAAATACACTTTTCAGTGTCTCATGAATTTTCACCTGCCTTTTCTATCCCTCCTTGCCCTGTAATTTGCAGCCTACCAGGTAAAAAAAGAAATTACATAGCTCATGGAAAGATAAGGGACAGGAAGACCATGGTGCATTCTCTAGAGAAATGTTTCACCTGCAAAGCTTTAGAGGAGCTCTGCTTATGTTCCCTAGAAGCGTAGTGTTTTCAGCAGTGGTGTGGGCTGAATTAGACGTTTGCTCCCATACCATGCTATCATCCAGAAGGACACAATGCTTCCATCTTTTGAGCGTGTTCTGATCAGCTTTCAAACCTCCCTGCTGCAGTCTTGGGCAACCCTCAAGGACTCCGGCACCTTCCATTCTCCCTTATGACCCATTTCTGCAAGTACGCTTGCACGTTGGCAGATGCATCTGGGTGGATTTATGGTCAGTGGTAGGTCCAATCTGAACAGACTCCCCTTTGTTATTTTAGGAATATTTTCCTTGTTAATCCCCTTCTTTTAAGACACTATGAAGTCAGACATGCTGACATTCAACTACTTCACGATGGCCAGCTTCTTTTGGATTTATGCGCACCATATTGCTTCTAAATGTAGGTTACTAGAAATAATTTGTTAGTAAAATATATGAGAGAATACATGTGTTGGTCAGGTTTCTTTCCTTTCCTTTTCTTGAATTCTTAATAATAAGAAGCAACTGGGCCTTGCAACGCTGTTTTGTTCCTCTGTTATGTGCGACAGTCAACCTACCACTTTGTATGTTGAGGGCATGATGTTTGTCCAGGGACCATCCTCCAAGTTTGGAAGCATCAATTTCATAACCCTGAAGCACAGCTGTCCTCTTCTCCCACAGGATCAAGTCAGGACAGGATTCATACTCATAACCTACTGAAACTATGAACAAGAGAGAAGCAAAAAAGCCCCCAGATTAGTAACCCAGAAATGCATAATCAGCACACACAGAGTTTCAACTGAGCAGGGGTAAGGGCATTTCTACAGGCAACTGCCAATTTAATTTAAAATGTCATCACTGTAATGTACAGTCTTAATATTTTTCTCTTTAAAGGCCATCCTGCATTTAAAAAGGTCAACACAGTTGTAGATGTTGGGCAAATGTGCTAAATATTTTAAAGGCACTGTTTTAAAGACATATTTTAAAACAATGGCTATTTGAGAGTGTAAACCACTGCTGGACTCCTAAATGGCAGCATTTTACTCCTATCTAGTACTTTTTGATCTAAGACTGCATGTCAGGAACTTGCTAAAAATCATGGCCTTTCTTGGAAAGTAAAGACTTATACAAATGAGGCATGGGGCAGTGAGTCCCTCAGAGACAGCAGTCTTGGACCTGGTTGACTTGCGGTCATTGTTAAATGTCAAAAGGCTGCATAGCAAAACATGGTTTGCTTGCCATGGTGTCTAATCAGAGCCTTTCAGGAGCAACTCCGCAGAACACATTGGAGTTGCTTAAGAGTAAAATGATATCAGTAAAAGGAAAATCATGTTTTTGACAGAATAATGACTCCTTTCTGATTTTCTCAGAAGAAGCAGGCCCAGTTTCATTGGTCTGCTTTTCTTCTGCCCTACCTGATCTTCTCAGCGCTAACAGCTGAAGCAGAGCAGAACTGCAAGTTCTACACAAGTGAAAAGCAATTACATAGCTCCTTTTTTTTTACTAGATAAAAATAAAGGTCTGATCTTACAAGTTTCCCAGCCTTGAAAAGTGCTGAGCACTGAGCGAACTCAGGATCCCCCATCAAATATAGCCTTTTGCAGAATCAGACAGTGTCAGAGGAAGATATAATTTAGGAAATGAAGACTTGATATTTTCCACTGTTCTAGAGGTGGCAATGATTGAAAGCCTGAATGCTGATGTCCCCAGACCTCCTTGAGTACTCCAGGGCTGCAGAGCTGCATCATGGAGCACGCCAGGACCCACTGCCGATCTAGCATCTTAAAGAGCATGTAAACACAGTCTTTCAGGATATGCTACCAGGACACATTTCTCAGTGTGGACTCCAAACTGGGTAAGGCTCAGCAGGTTGTATCATCCAGCCTGCTCAAGGTAGCTGAGCCTGAGTGATAGGAAGGCACCCCTTCTTCCTCCTAGAAAATACGGCACCCTACAGCTCCTCTAAAGAGACTTAGCTTCAGCTGGGCTATGAGGCATCAGTGAACTGCCCTTCTGTCAACAAGAGCTCTACTTGCTAATTTGGGATCTTTCCATCTTTCTGCTATCATTGTCTTAGCAGCCAGAAAGGTCTAGTCTAGACTCTGTTGAAGACCTGTTAATTAAATGTCCTCTGGTAGTTGATCAGATGGGAAGAAACCACCGCAGAGCAGCATCACCTCTGCTCACTATACACTCAAAGTACCCCCTTCCCCCCATCGTCATCACACAGGGCTCAGTGGGTGAGGTCTGGGATGGCAGCAGGAAAAGGAATGAAGTGTGTTTCTGCAGGTATATTATATCCACAGCTTCCTGCCCCAGCAAGGACTTCAGGTTCTGCCCCTGTAGCGTGGGTGGCATGGACCATACTGCTTGGTGCTGGGGATGTGGCACATTGAGTATGCAGAGCCCTCCTGTTCTCTGCCTTGCAGCCTCTGACAGTCTTCTGCAGATGTAAATAAATGCACAAGGTACAAGAGAGAAGGGCATCAGGCCCCTTTTTGGGATTGCGTTCTTGAATGGGTAACAAAGGGGAAACTGTAAGACTAAAGCAATCCTGAAGGTTAGGCACAAGGATGTTGGAGATTAGTTGTAGGGATTTCTTTCAGAGCAGCGCTGACAGCTTTTGGCTATAGGTGAGAGGTAGCCAAATGCCTCTAGTCGCAGTTCATTCCTTCTGTATGAATATGATGGCAGCAGCTCAGGATGTATGTGCTGGGCCATGAGCCAGAGAACAGATAAGTATTCATCTGTTGGGGAAATGTGTGCTGTCTGAACAGCTGGACCCAATCCTCTCCAAGGAAACAGCAGTGACCCAGCAGGGACCACTTTATGTGTTAGCATTTGGACCATACCGATCTAGGACAAGGTCTGCGCATTGCCACTTAGCTGCTTCTAAAAAGAGACACAAGCCCTACGGTCACTTACCGAAGGCTTCTGAGAGCCCATACACCTTCTGGCTGTAGACATCTGTCTTATCCCAGATGAAATAATAGGAGAGGTCTGGAGCAGCTGCAAACCACTTTCTGAAGAGGCGTCCCTCGACGGCCACCATGAGGTGGACTTTCATGAGGTTGAAGGGGATGGTGGGGTGGGTCATGCTGATCCTCAGGACTGATTTGTAGCCAGCTGTGCGACTGCTCAGGTAACTCACTTTTATTTTACTACCGGAAACGTTAATCTCCTCCTGTAGAGCCTGTGGAAAAGCGATCCAGGAGGCGTTAAATCAGCACCGAGCAGACAAGAAAAGGGAGTGAAGTTGTAATTTATCAAACACACCTTTATAAAAGCTCTGGTAGACATGTCTAAAAAAGCACACCTAGTAGGCATCAATTATAAAATCATATATGTAATTTATAGGGTTAGTTGTGGAAGCCAGGGAATGCCCCCCTCTTTCTCCATCTCTGTTACATGGGAGCACAGGAGACCAAAGTATCACATTTAAGTCAGTGTTTACAATGGGACTCACTGCTAAAAGGAGTCCCAGGACCCATGGTGAAAGGAGCTTGGTGTCTGAGATTATTCCAGCCCATCAGTTTAGCTTCCACTTTCTATCTTTTATCTTGGTAGGTTTCTATGGCTGCTAATTTTTGTCATTTTCCCAGTAAAGTATCCCCATCCCCGATCGTAACCTGCCATTCTCTCCATGTCATTGGTGAATCCTGCTTCCACCCTCCCTCTTCTGACTTACCCATCTCTCTTTCTTTGAAACTGCTCCTCTCCTACCTCACCTTCGACTCTCTTTGCCTGATCTACCTCTAGCTTTTTTTTTTTCCTGTGTCCTGTTTTTTTGTGTCCAGGTATTTTCTGACCTCATATTTGTTCCTACTTACCCTAGTCCTTGCTTGAAATTCCCTCCCCTCTTTACCTGCACGACGAAGCTCTTGGCCTCACCTACCACCATCAACCCCTTTCCCCTCCTTTGCATTCTCCCTTCCCCTCCTTCTCCAAATTCCTCTGTATTCTAGGTGAGGTACTTTGTTTTGTCCTCCAGACACGCTGTGTGGGTATTTCTGGCTGACTGGGACAGTTACCTCACAGGTCTCCATTCCAGTAAAGAATTTCACAGAAGACTGGAGAAACAGCAGGGAAAGTTTTGTCTGCCCCTGTTCTGCTTTGAGAATAGAGAACTCTCAGTAAAGATGGGATTTTCAGCTAATTTACCTGCTAAAATATAATCAGATCTTAAAATTATTATTTTTTTTTTTAGTTGGAGAAATCCAGGGAAATTTTCTGGAGGTGATACAATGTACATCCCTGACACCATGCTGATTCTCCCATGCAAAATACCGATAAAAAAGAGCATTTCTTTCTTAAGTCTTAGAGGGGAAAAAAAGTTGGTTGTCACTTTCCAGAAAATTTCATTCTTAGGTAAGCACCCAACATGGACATTTTCTGCAAAAGCCAGCGACCTTTGGCAAAGTTTGAAAGATGAAGGTAGAAGCTTAGCTGTGAGCTGGAAAACTTGGTCTGATAATGGGATGTGTCAGAAGGTCACAGCTGGCACTGTTCTCTCCTGCGCCACTTCTGAAATATTTTGGTGTGCCGGACCTTAAATGAGCTGTGAAAATACTTCCCCAGCAATAATCAGCTTTTGTAATATTAAGGGCATGGAGGCTTGAAGGCAGGTGGGTCAAGAGATCCACCCATCAGCAAGGGGTCACCGCCATCCCGGTGTCCTCCAAGCTACGTGGCTCCTATACTCAACTCCTCCTATGTGGGAATAGCAAACTTCCCTGGCCTGACAAGTTGCTCATCTCTTACAGGTTTTCTCGTTAGCTTTATAAATAATGACAAATCTTGTAATCTGCCCCCTGAAAAGACTTCTTCTAAGCTATTATCCAAGGCCCACCACTTTTTCAAGTAACAGATAACGTACAGCCTCTGAGCGTTGCAGCACTTGACAAACGGACACATCCAGAAGTTAAAGCGCTGTTCCACTGTGCTCATAAATATTTACTTTCTCTAATGCAGCCTTTTCAATTTACATATCTCAGTGCTTAGGAGGCTGAAAAATGACAGAACTGGGAAAACCCAGGAATTTTAAAATATATTTTATGAGCTCAGCAACAAGCTGGGCTGGGACCAGGCTCAACCAGAGACCAGCTGAGCCAAGCTGCAGTAAAGGTGGTCCCTTGCATCAAATCTGTCTTCATATGTAACCCCTCTAGGAAAAAGCCAGGCAGAAATAATTGTCACGGAGGTACTATTTGCAATGTCTGGTTCAAATCCCTGTCAGAAATAATTATTTCTTTCTGTCATGATCTGTCTCTGCTGTCTCCCATTCCAGAGAAAGGGTCAGCACAGTGGTACCAAGGCACTGAGCAGCATGAGGGGCTGTGTTTAAAGGCTCCTTCTTGAAGAATGGGTTCAAACGGTAATTCAGGTTATCCGAAACGCATTTGTAGTTTGTAAGTGGTGATGAACTAGCAACAAAGCAGGGCATTGGTGGGGGGAGTATAATCCAGTAGGACACTGGTGGGAGAAGAGGGGAAAAATAAGCTTTAAAATACTCTGAATGCACCAAAAGTAATGACAGCCGAATTGTGCCCTTTTTTCTATTTGATAATCGCTGTTTGACCCAGATAAATTAATGCGCTGTGTCTGGGGTCCTTGTGAAAGACTAGGGCTCTTAGAGTTTATCGTGGCCTAACCAATGTAATCTGCTCTTTAAAAGTGGTCCAGCCACCAGGCTGGTCAGGCAGAAGAGCTGGTTCTTCAGGCTTACTAGGGATTTTCACAATTTAGCAATTTTCACTGCTGTGTTCCCTTCGCTCCTGGGTGTCGATCTATGCTTGTGTTAGTAGCAATTCTTCCACTCTTTGCCTGAGACAATGTAGAAAATCTTGTTTCTGTGTGCTGGGTTACACATTTCTCTTACAGCTACTCCTCGCTCCGCCAGCAGGCAAGGCAAGGAGCAATCAATCTTTTTTTTTTTTTTTTTTTTTTTTTTTTTTTTTTTTTTTTTTTTTTTTTTTTTTTTTTAATATGATTCTCAGAAAGAACTTTGAGAAAGAAAGGCATTTAGGGCCTGTTTCAGAGGCCTTAACTTAGGCATCTGGTGCTTTTGAGATGTTCTATGGTATCCAAAACCTCTGCAAGGGGATGACAGATCTGACATGACCTTCTTGAGATCTCCACCTTTCTGAAGATACAGCTGGAAGCCTGAAGGGACACTTCAGGGCATTTTAAATGGCAACAAATCTGTCTTTAGGCACCTGAATCAAACACTTAAAATGTATTATTTCGTCTTTTGAACACATCCAGGTAGAGGACACTGCATTTATTTGCTGGAGCTGATGAGGTTCCTATCTGCCCACTTGTCAAAATCTTTCCCAGCCCTGCCATCCATTTCTTACCTCCCTCCAGCCATGGGCTCACACCTTTTATATTTAACATTTCTCTACTGAGAACTGCGTATTATAAAATACAGCTGCAGAAACTGACAGCTACATTATTTTTATTGTATGTATATCCAGTATAGGAATGAAAAGTAGTTAATTTATGAACTGAACTACAGTCAGGACTCTGCCATAAAATCGGATTCTCTTATATACTCCTGCACCACAAACTCTGTTAACCTCAGCTGTCAATATTTGAGGAGGAATACAGTTTTACACGTTTTAGCTCAGTTGTGTGGCATGTGGGAAAAGTACTGCTCATCATGTATGGGATTCACCTTATCCAAACTGAGGAACCTAAAAGTTAGGAGTCTTCTCTGAGCTACTCTTCTAGGTCTCTCCATGGCGAATAGGCAGAGATAGGATCTTCAGAAGGTTGGTCTGGCCACGTAAACTTAAGAGTGGGATTCAATTCCAGCTTAAGGCATCTAAATCCAGACGTCGACATATAAGTGTGTGCACGTGAAGCAGGCATGTAAACATCAATCATAGTCAGTGGACATCTAACTGATACTGTCAGTGGGAACCAGACACCTTCAAGATGGTCAGCTTAGTTGATCTGTAGGTTCTGCTGACAGTATTGATTAGATTTCTGTGAGCTTTAATGGGAGCTCGGACATCTAGCACACACCGAGACGACTGTGTGTGAACACCTTATTTAGGTGCCATAATCTCAAAATGAATGCCACTTAGGTCTTAATTAGATTCCATAGCTACAGGTGTCTAGTGTGATTTGGGATGTCCAAGTTATCTGTGACATTTGCAAGGGGTTGGCAGCTATAATGCAGGACACTGATAGGGGGATCATTCTGGATTGGCAGTTGGAAGCCAAGCAGGATATCTGCAGGACATTTCAAATGGCACTAAACATCTACGATGAGGCTGGTGAAACACTGGCCCAGGTTGCCCAGAGAGGTGATAGATGCCCCATCCCTGGAAACATTCAAGGTGAGGTTGAATGGGGCTCTGAGCAACCTGATCTAGTGGAAGGGGTCCCTGCACGTGACAGGGAAGTTGGACTAGATGACCGTTAGAGGTCCCTTCCAACCCAAACCATTCTATGATTCTATGATCTATAGTCTGTATCAAACCATCGCTTATGATCTCCATCCCTGGCTGCTTTCACAGTCGACAGACAGACACGCAGTCATATTGAAGAGGAGTTTTAGAATGTTTTAGTTCAATAGATATAATTAACAAAATCTAATGAGTATCCTGCCAAATAACGAGTGAGGTTATGATTATAGTTGCACTGTATCAGATATTTGCTTCTTTCCCAGGCAGCGCTGAACGCTACCTTTCGTGGTGTTTGTTGGTTTAGGAAAAAAGAGATGTGAAAACAACAAAGAATTTGCAATCTGATGGACTTCATAAGACATGGGACTTAATTAGTAATTATGCTGGGACAAACCCGGTGACTGTAATTGGAAATTAGTGTGAGAAAGGATCACAGGATTTGGTCCAGAGGGAAAGGTAGAGACCACTAGCTTTATTTGTTGCTGGGTTCAGTACCTGGTGTATTAAAATAAGTGACTTCTTTCCTCATTATCGCTACTGCAACCCCAGTGGAGTCAAGCAGGAAGCACACAATTTGTTGCTACACTTGTTATTATTTCTACCTTGGCAGACTATTATTTGTCACTAAAAGCAATACCCAGGACATGCTGAATGCTGGTATCTAAAACCCAGGGAATAACATGCCCAGGAAAGGAAAGCTTGAATGCTGCTACATCCATATAGTTCAAGATAGTGAGTATTTGTAAGGAAAATGGATAAGTCAGTTGTTTGGACTGTTCAGTTTAAAACCCAACTTTACCTTTGGCAAAATACTTTGAATCCACAGCAGGCTGTTAAACTAGTTTATCTGACTCGCACTTCCTTAAAAAAAGGAAAATGGGGAGTGGAAATTAAAAGCAACCCTTTCGCTTTGCTCATCTATCCCAAATGTCATGAAATGCAATAAAACCCAGGTGCTCCACAGGCTGGCCATTTGCCAGCCATCTGCTGGCTGACTCTACATCTCAGCAGCTTTGTAGAGTGAGGGGTATGCCTTCAAACCCTGAGAAAGTTCACACCCGATACTCCACCACTGAGGTCCGTAATGCCCAGTGGGTGAAATTTGCTCCTGAACAGAAGAAAGGCATTGGAGTGTAAGTGGTCCATCGTGCCACTGGGCATATCGAATGCCAAAGGGCTGCCTGAAGGCTTGTTGTGGGTCATATGGGGGTCCCAGCCCACCTCCTGAGGATGACAGGTGAAAGCAAAGCAGAGCCAATGTAGGTTTTCACTGTCGGCCACAAGTGCTGTGTCTCCATCTCTCAGGGATAAGGGAAAAGAAACCTCCTGGCTAAGTGCGTGCTTGTGAGCGAGCGCTCCTGGCGAATGTCTGAAAAATGGTGGAAAAAACGGGGAATGCTTCTTTTTAGCAAAGCAAGGGAATAGAGAACGACACAGAATAGTTGTATTTGTGTTGCTCAAAGCAGGCAAAAGAAGCACAGAAAGGAGCTGGATTATTGTCTCCTCAGTTCATACCTGGATTTCAGGAATGATAGGACCTTTCTCTGAGCAGGAACTGGCAAAAGCTGTCAGAGGAGATGGGGAGACCACAGGGTTGGGCCGGGCGAAGTTACTGAGGTCACAGCTTGGGATCTCATTCTCTTCGTGCCTCATGACTATGGTTTCCATCACGAAGAAGCGATCCCATGGCAGCCACAGCGTGTGCTCCTGGGTGATGAAGGGAGCCCGCTCAAAGTGCAGGATAATGGAGATGCCACCAATGGTAACGAGATCGAAGCTGTTTTAAGAGATGGAATACAAAGTTAGTGCAAGCACCACCCTGTGTGTTTGTAGCAATTCCCCAGCAAGGACCCCAGAAAAACAATCGCAAGAAATATCATCACCCACATTTTACAAGCATAAAACCTACAGCCCAAAGAGGCTTTAGTTGGGTAAGAGCAAGTGGCAGAGGCAGGCGTACAAACTCAGCTTCTTTGCATGTTGTCCCCATGTATATTAAAAACATACCCATCCCTTTTTTTGAGAGAAATCTTTATCTTTGTTATTGCTTTTCTAGTGTTATTTGACCATATGTATTCTTTTTTTAAAAAAAAAAAAGTATTTATCATCCAAACGCAGTCACAGATTGGATCAATTCACATGATGAAATAAACTATTTGGAAAGTGGTTTCTCTGACACACCACCATATAAATTGTCTTGGCATCAATGCTAACAAGACTAATACCTAATGCAACCCAGGGAACATGTGGAGCCCAGTCATGGACCTACTGTACTAGGCACGGGGAAGAAATGAACACCACGCAGGCAGTCTCTGTACCACAGCACTCAGCACATAGTCTTTTTTGACTCTGAATCATTTAGAGCAGGGCAGATATAACTGACTGCCTGCGGTCTGCAACTTCGCCCTATGCTACCTCCAGCCAAGTGGCTTTTCTGCCTGCGTTAGTGTTGGATATTATGTCGGGCTAACAGACAGCCCTCCAGAGCTGTAGGAAAGGATGTTACCTCCATAAGGAAAATATTCCTCCTCTTAATGTAAAGATGTTGGGATAGGGTTTGGGGTTTTTTCTTAGTTTTGTATTTAAACTTCACATCTTGTCAGAGATGGAGATTTTATGAAGTACGACAGGATGTATCTACTATGTATAGACTCAAAACCGAGGTGTTAACTGAGAAAGGAAAGGATTTCAGCACAATTTGAAGACCTCTCGTTATTGCTGCTTTGGTTTTTTTTCTCAGTATCTATTCAGTTGCAATGCCAAATGTGTGTTTCAGGCAAAGAAAGTTTTCTCATCCCTGCCTCCCACTTTTGATGCTTGGCGCTAGCGTGTGACAGGCTCACACAGATTTTAAGCACGTGAATAGGGTCGCTGGCTTCAGCGGAGCTGCTCATGTGCTTAAGAGCCATGTGCTCAAGTACTTCTCTGTGCGTCCTGAGAACTAGGATCTGAAAGCCCTCTGACAGCCCTCTTGCTGCACCTTGTAATTACGAGGTGAGAAAGAAGCTGGAAAAAAAAAATAAAATTAGCTTTTAAATTAATTATAAGGCTTTCAGATCAGCTGCAAAAATCCGAGAGGAGCAACAACGGGTATGAGCTATTTCTAAAAAAAAATCTTTGGCAAGCCATCATTCAGGAGAACCTTTTTTTTTTCTATGGCCGACAGACTGAGGTGCCATTTAGTAAATATAATGACGAAAAGAAAGTTTTGCAGGAAAGAATTTTAACTTGAGTCCGTGGGAGGGAGTGGAAAGCATTTTAAAAAGCTAAGGACATGTTTATTCTACCACTCAAGTAGGGGCATCAGCTTCCCAGACCTATTGCTTGGCTCGCAACAGCCTGATGAGTAACTTGCTGGCCCTTGCCAGCAAAGCTGCGCAGCATTTGTACTTTGATGAGAACATTTTTAACAGTCAATTAGCATTTGGCAAGCCCTTCAGCTAGGAGGGAGAAGCTTGCTCTGCATGAATCCGGGCACTGAAAGGGGCAACGGGAGGAAAGAAACAAATATTACAAATGATGCTCAACAAGTTTTTAGGCAAGCGGAAAGAGTTTTTCTTTGGAAACACCTCCGTTTCACTCCTTTGTGAGCGGTTCTTGGCTTCATTGACCCTGGGTCAGGGATGGTAACCTGCTGGGTGGAAACATCTTTGCCTCTCCTGCATCCCCAAAGCTGGATGCAGAAGGGAAAGCACCACCTCCACGTCAGGCTCCAGCAGCTGTGAAAACAGAGACAGGCAGGATTTTTTAGCAGGCACTGTTGCTCTTGAGCTGTTTTTCCCAGAGTCACAGGGTGCAGCTTTGAAGTTACCTTGATGAACTGAACAAACGCTAAACCCAAAACCAAACAGAAAAAACCCAAACTGAAAACACCTTCCTCCCAGCTTCCCTTAGTGAAATTAAATTTAACAAGAGCAAAACCATCTTGGGATTGAAGGAATGAGATAATTTTATTTCTGATTTTGCTGCTGATCTCTGATGTCTTGTTTATCACTCTGGGAAAATCGTACTTCTTGTACAGCCATATTGTTCTGTTTTTCTTAAAAGACTCTGGAGAGACAGGGCAAAGGATGAAATTCTCTATTTATCCACTAAGCAGGCTCAAAAAAACCCCCAACAAAACCCAGAGAAAAGTGTAGCCCTTTCTCATCTCTTTGCTTAGAAAGTCCGTCCCTCTGACAGAGCCATGCCAAAGTCGCTGAATGTGATGGCAGGTACACAATACTGAAAAAGTCTGGAGACTTTCCTGCTGTTTTATTAATACCGCGCCCACAACCATGTGATACTGAGGACTTACAGCCTCTGTAAACTATTAGTTTAATCAAATTTAAAGCTTTATTTAAAAATGTGGTTTATAATCCAGTACCAATACTTCTATCCATCTGTTAACTTTGCTTTACAGAGAAATCACTCATACAACAGAGTGGTTTGAGACCTGTCATTTTATCTTTATGCCTTGTTTTCTGAAAAAAATCTACGTCACAATAGACTAAAAACACATGGAAGCCTTGAAGTTATCAATGAGTTTTTCTCAGTCTAAGTAATGCCACTTAAAGAGGACCAGGATTTCACTATTAAAGGCTGTATCTGAGTACCATAATAGGAATGAAACGTACTTGCAGAGACCTGGAATGCAGTCAACCCACTAACAGGGGTGAAAAATTCAGTTCAGTGTAATTTTAAAACTGAAATTTCACTTATGATACTCATTTTGAAACTTGGTCATGCCAAAAAATCCCCAACAAACCAAACTCAAAGCAACAAAATCAGCTTAGGAACCAATCTAGCTAACCTGATGCAATTCTGTCTTTAAACTCCCTTACTTTAAAAACACATTTATTGCCCTGCTATCAGTAAACTGATTTGCTAAATCAATTTAAGGCAACTCAGTGCACATTTTCAAAAATATATATTCCTATGGTGAATATGCCAAATAATAAAGCCAGGGAGTTTTATGCAGTTATCTCATAACCCCTGCCACAAGGTAACTGCTTGCATGCGTGCTCCCATTTTTCCTCCAAACCAGAATGACACCGAAGATGGTCCAGGTGACCCCACATGACTGTGCACTGGTGTGGACTGGGAATGCATGCCGTTTGCTACTGTAGTTCAGGAGAAGCTACTTCTTGCTTAAGAGCATCAACACCTTAAACCAAAGTGACTCAATCACATGAAAACTGCACTGTGAAAAAGCCGATGAGAAGAGAGCCATCCTCTATTCAGAGAATTACTGAAAACTATCAAAACACAGAATAGAAACTCTTAATAGCAATAATTCTTTACATGATTTTGAAAGTGCTTTACAAATAGTATTTAATAAATGCTATACCAATCAGTAAGGAAGGCAAGTAAATGTTATCTCCATTTCACAGGCTGGTTGGCTGGCCTAGGAAGGTTAAGAGATGCATCTAATGCTACCCGCTAAATCAGCAGCGAGGCTAGGATTAGAAATAAGAGATGTCTGACATCGTTTTCTGCCCTGACAATTTTAGTCTGAATGCTCTTAAATACTTCAAGGTAATTTTTAGAAGACCTCACTACTGAGGAAGTCACTGGATTCTGGTGTTCTTTAAAAGAAGGGCTTTCACTTGTCCGTTTATTACCTCCGGAGCACACAGATGCACTGCTGTGCCCATCCATTTGAGAAAATACCTGCATGTATGGCTCAGACAATTTTGGAAGGTATTTTTATGATTGAAGAGACTCAGCACTGCAACCGGACAATTTATTGAATGTCAGTCGTGCACCAGACCTGCACAAGGTTTCTGCAGAAGCAGACTGATTTGAGAGGACAGCGAAGAAAGAGAAATCAGAAGAGCGGACACCGTGCAGTCTGGGGTTACGCTGCCCACCAGCAGCTGCTGACAGAAATCCCAGCTTCAGGATGAATCCCACTTGGTCACCGATTCCCTTGTCTGAGACAGCTGTTCTCTGTCATTTTTATCATTTGGAGCTGAGTATCTGCTGGGGTCTGAGTCAGCAAACTGCAGCACTGAGCTCCTTGAAACTAATTTAACTTCTGGAGGCTGGCAGCAGGCCCCGAGGAACCAGCAGTCCACTGAAGATTGGTGGAGCATACTGATGCTCCAGCTGCATCGCTTTCTGCCCTGGGTCCCCTGCTCAGCTGGAGGTTGGGAAGGACAAGGTGTGAAAGGAACACCCCTGGCTTGAACTGCCAGCAGAAGGCGGCTTATAGCAGGGGGGAGTTGCCTTTCACCACCTGGGAACTGGAAAGAAATACTCAAATATTGCAGAGGTCTAGGGCTGTGACAGCAGGGCTCACCTCCGTGCCCTGGTCCTGTTTAGCTTGCTGGTATGTTTGCTGCCTAGAGGTGAAGTTTAAGATACAGACCTCTGTGCTAGGTATGGCACAATTGCAAAGCAAAGAGATGGTCCCTTCCTCAAAGTACTTGTAATCTAAATGAAAGATTACACATAGTAGTTGGGAATCGTATATTAGACAAGGAAACAGATGTAAAAAAGGTTATGGCAGGCATTGTTGTCCAGGAATTTTGCAGGCATATTTATCTGTTCTAATAGACATCGATTTTGTGCTGGTCTATACACAGCAATCTGATCTTGAGAGTGCAGTTTGGATCCCACTTTCACACAAAGTAGGTTCAGTAAGGTTGACAGAGATACTCGTAGCATAAATGTGCAAGACTTTCTCCTTTTTGCAGTAATGCCTAAGCTATGGGCAATACAAGGGCACCAGCTCCAGAGTCATCCTTTTCCAAAGGAGACCACTAGTTTTCCTGGGATGCCTCTTATTATCCAAACTTTATTGTCATGTTTTCCAAGAGGTGGAGCATCAGTCGGAAAGCCTCCTAGTCACCATCAGTGTTACAGTAGGTGCAAACCCTCCTGAGCATGAACAAGGCAGCATTAAGCACACATTGCTAGCCCATGTTCCTCTCTACCATTATAATTCTATCAGCTTCTCTGGCCAAGTCAAACCTTTAATGAAAGTCGTGGATTGGAGAGGTGCTAAAATCTATTAAATCCTCTCCCAAGTGCTAGTGGTTAGCAGTCAATACATACAGCACGTGCAGCTGGAACCCCTTATGTTTCATTTTTGTTCTTAAAAGAAAGGGAGCCAATTAGTGCTGACAGACAAAAGATAAGATGAAAGACTTTCCCAATTTGCAATGCTTTTGTTTTGGTTGAGCGTGATTGCTCAGATTTTAAGCACTTGCCTCTAACACAACTGTAATCTTAATGACTTCTTCCTAATCATTTCGACATGAATTAGCAAGAATAGAGCTGTTGGGAGAAGGAGACATCTTTTCTTTATGTGCACGGACGGGCACTGCATTGCCCAATTGTTGGCTAAAGATTCTAGGTGCTATCACAAAGTTAATAATAATAAATAATAAAAATAAGAATAGAATAGAATAGGACTATTTCAGTTGGAAGGGACCTACAAGGATCATCTAGTCCAACTGCCTGACCACTTCACTTAAACCTTCCCTGGCACAGATTTGAACCATTCCCACAAGTCCTGTCACTGTGTACCAGGGACACCAGCACCTCCCTCTCTCCCTCTCCACTTCCCCTCTTCAGGAAGCTGTAGAGAGCAATGAGGCCATGTCTCAGCCTCCTTTTCTCCAAACTAGACAAGCCCAAAGTCCTTAGCCACTCCTCATAAGACATTCCTTCCAGCCCTTTCACCAGCTTCGTTGCCTTCCTCTGGACACTGCATTCAAGGACATCCTTCTTAAATTGTGGGGCACAGAACTGCACACAGTATTCAAGGTGAGGCTGCACCAATGCTGAATACAGTGGGATAATCACCTCTTTTGACCAGCTGATTATGCTGTGTTTGATGTACCCCAGGATGCGGTTTGCCCTCTTGGCTGCCAGGGCACACTGCTGGCTCCTGTTGAGCCTGCTGCCAACCAGCACCCCCAGATGCCTTTCTGCAGGGCTACTCTCCAGCCACTCCTCTCCCAGTTTATACTTGTGCCCGGTGTTACTCTGTCCTAGGTGCAGAATCCGGCATTTGGACTTATTAAATTTCATCCCATTAATCATAGCCCAATGCTCCAATCTATCTAGATTCCTCTGCAAGGCCTCTTGCCCCTCAAGAGAGTCAACAGCACCTGCCAGTTTGGTATCATCAGCAAATTTGCTAATGGTGCTTTCAACTCCTGCATCCAGATTGTTGATAAATATATTGAACAGGACTGGCCCTAGAATTGCACACTGAGGAACACCGCTGGTGACTGGTCGCCAGCCAGATGTAGCCCCATAACAACTAACAATACCACATCAACATCTTCAAAATGCATCAACAATAAATGTGCTCTTGGAAGGAGTTTCTCTTTAGTGTTGATGGCAATAATGCTGTAACTGCTGCTTGAACACTGTAAATCCTATAAAGACACCCTACCTGCCGTCTTGTCTGCTGATTGTGTATCCAAAAAGAGGATTGTTGACAAAGCTGATGTTCACTCCAACTAGAGGGGTCCCATCTGCCGTCATCACCTGGCCTCGAATCACACACGCATGCCTGCAAGAAGGAGAAAAATGATAAGAAAGAATAAGCCTTTTGACAAATTCAGGTTTTTCCTCTACTTCTGTGGCTGGGAATCCTATGCATTAGAAAGCCCAGGCCTTTATGTCCTGGAAAGCTGGGGGCCATGCCGTGTGTCTTGATGGTGGGATACTACTCTTGAAGCCTTTCTCAGGAGTTCTGTAAGAACATTCAATACCTAAAATGAGGTTTACCCATATCCTACTCTCAAAAAGCAAGTGCTGCAGCATATACTTCATTAACTATGGACTTCTGTAGGGTTCACAACGTTACATTGGAATTTGCTATAACCAAGTTTCACAGTGTCTTGACAATATTACTCTAATTAAGGGCAAAGCACATTTTAGAATCAAAGAGAACAGAAACCTACCAAGCACTGCATGGATATATTTAAGGCACAAAAGCCACAAAAGCACCCTGACCGAGGCTTGACGGCTCATTTCTTCCACGCTTGGGAAAACCACGACAGATAATTTGCTAGGTTCAGATAGCTTCCCTACAAACTGCTTGGGGAATTGAGCACGCTGACAGGACGGGCTTTTTCTTCCCATCTTTTCTTTCCAAGTTTGGTAGATTGCACTATTTCATAGGCTACATCTATTCCAATTACTCCATGCTCTGTAATGTGCTCCTTTATCTAAGGATTTCAAGGATCTTTACAAACATTGATTAATACTGCAAGATAGGTGTTTCACAGAGAGAGGAAATAAAGCACAGAGTGATTTTCAGTTGTCCAAGGTCAGTCAGAAAATCTGCAGTAAAGCCAAAGACAGATTTTCTAGGTTCTTATTCCAAAGTCTGTTTCCAGACCTCTAAGTCATTACTACGCCTCTACCTTAGGAGGTTCCTATAAAGACAAAGCATCACATGTCTGTGAGAGTGTCTGAACCCAATTTTTGGCTGAAGGTAACTATTTTTCTGAGCAGCAACAGCAAATTGTGGTGTCAGTGTGCTAACGTGACCCAGTGAGTGATTTTCCTAACTGCTGTCCTGCTGGAGAGCAGAGATTGAAAGGCAATGTTTCTACAGGTGCGGGACCAGATCTCAGCCAGAGTAAATCATCCCAGCTGCACTTGCTACCTACCCACTTCAGCTGAGAAATGACGCTTTCCCGGTTCACTGAGGCAAAGGATATCTGCAATGTCTTGTAAAGATGATTTCATAAACACGGATCATCAGGGAAAGATCAAGTTATTTTCTTATAGTCCATCTAAAAATCTGATATTGTATAACGCAAGGAGATAAAGAATAATTTCTATTTAATAAGGGCTGCACTATTTGTACATTCCACAGTACAGAAAACAGACCATTTGTCAGGGAGTCTTAAACAAAACTCCTACTGATCTAAATGGAGAGCTCCAATATTAACAAAAATTCTCGAAGCGTTACCAGAATGTGTCGGCAATCTAAACTGTGACTGGATTCATATACAATTTTGGAACAGGCCACAGGAAAATGAGATAATGGAAATGATTTTTCTGTCACTGAGTTTTCTGTGATATATCATCACTGACTTGTTAGAAGTCATGTTGGAAAAGACTTGAACCCAGCTCCGGACCTAATAATATTCTTCATACTTCTATTGCTTCTCCCATTGAAGGCTCTAATTCAGCTTCCCATATACAACAAATTTTAAATAATATTCCAGTACAATATTATGCACATCACTCTCTAACAGGCAGGCAAAGCACAACCCAGAGGATCAAGATGCCATGGTATATGCTTGGAAAAATGTCAATGCTTGGAATAACCCCACTGAAGTCAACAGGTCACCATCTGTAGTGCAATTCTGCACATAGCGAGTATGTCTAATCACATATCTGAGCTAAGAGCAGAAGCCAGGCCTTTTCCTCCCAGATTTTTCCATGATCCCCTCCACCCTGCCCCATCTCCTTTTCCATTCTTTAGAGGGACCTGAGGAAGGGTTTGAAACTGTCTTCTCTCAGCTTCTCATCAAATGGCTGCGCATTTTGTGAACGGCAAGGAAGCACTACAGACTGTTGCTTGAAGACTAAGACCTGAGCACAAGGGACTTGGTATTCTGAATTACTGATAACGTGTTCAGGCCAACACTGGGACTACGAATGTTTTAAAATACTTGAGAGACAAGATCATACAATTCTGTGAACCTAGAAAGAATACTTCCACCTGTTGTTTCTTCCTTCCAAACCAAAAGAAAAAATACAACATGTTGCAGGTGTCTCTCCTGCTGTCCTGCACAAAACACATGTCCAAGCAGTTGCAAACTTCTGAGTAATATTGCAAGCACATTGGCCTGGATCCTCAGCTCATGCTAATGGGGGGATATGCTTTATATCAGCAAGCATCTGGTCCATTACGTATCACTGACAACTATTTCTTCACTGACAAGCACCAGCACAACATGGACAAACAAAGAGCTTCCTCTCGCCTTGGCAGCTGCAACAAAAGCATTTGAACTCCCACCTTCCAGGAGGAGACTCGGTTGCCATTCTAGACGATGCTTGGCAGCACTGCACTCCAACTCTGTTAGCACATCTACGTGCTCACTAACTCGGACAACGCTGGCATCTCTTCTCAGAGAAGCAGCTTGTCAGCAAGCCCAGCTGCATCCACCATCCTCCCGAGGACGATAACAATAGCTTTATTTACATGCTGTAAGGAAAGAGGTTCCCACAAAGGGGACATCTTTCCCAAACCATGGTGATAAAAAGAAGCTGGAGCAACATGCACAGATCTGAATTCAGTTAAAAGCAAGAGGGATGGAAAACCAAAGCCCAGACTCTGCCTGATTAGTCTCAAATCTTCTCCTTCCCTGGGTGACAAAATTTGCCCCACTTGGGAAAAATGGTTAATGCAGTGCGTTGGAAGCAGCCGGCTTTTCTAGTGTCAACATGCCCTTTCTGGAGGCAAGATGGACTGCCCGCAACACACCGAGCCCCCCAGGAACCCAGTTAATGCTAATTTAGGCAGCCATTTCCTTCAGAAGACCTCGGTCTAAATGCAATTACACTACAAACAAGTTAAGTGGTACTGCTAAGACGTTCAGCTCCGCTAGAAGGTCTCCCAATATATTTACATAAAATTATCTCTCATGTTAATAACGAAAAGATTTCTGTAATAGAAGAGTTTTATTCCATTAGTCTAGGCCTGCTAGTTCAGAGTATTTTCTACAGTTGAACAAAATTGAATTTCTCGTAGCTGGAGCCTCATCTCCCCATTGAATTATTAACAGATTCCACCTATTGCTTCTGTTTTCTGGCCTTTTTTGTTTGTTTTTTTGTTTGTTTCTTTCATTTCTTTTACATCAGGCTGTGTGGATTCTTGTTTTACAATGAACAGCAGTCTGCTTTTTTTTTCCTCTTCTTTAATTAGACTTTTCCTTTCTTTTTTTTTTTTTTTAATTTGTCCATAAAAGCTCCCCTGAAACACCAAATCATTGTCAAAATGCTATCTAGAATGCCAGATGGCGTATCAGACAATTTAACACCATCACTTTGTGAAGTCATTCTTTATTCCCTAGAAAATTAAATTAAGTCTTCCTGGTAAGATCTGGGGCCACAGTGGCAAAACAGACAGGGGTGCATCGATGCCTTTACTTTTCCATTGCTCAGATATAAAGAAAGTTTGACAGGCTGTCAACAAAATTCAAGCAGACAAAAGCAGCTTTAGAACAGAAGCCAGAAAAGTAAATTCCCAAAAAGCCATTTCACATTATGGGAGCACATTAAAGATTTGTCTTTAATACTGACTCTGATCCAATGTCTCATAACTTAGACATTGGTGTTTCCAATACTTCTTATTCATAGATATTTTCTGCTGACGCTACGCTTGGCATTGGGAAATAGACAAAAATACTGCTTCTGCTAAACATTATTCATTGGGAAAAGAAAATCCCATGCATCCTAAACCCCCTTTTGCTGCAAGAAATGTATATTCTTTCCTTGGCTGAGGATAGGTGCCATGGGAAATCTCGCCCCAATGAATTTCTGCAGCTTCTCAATATATTTCCACTGTAACTCATTGCGCCTTCTCCTTTAAAGGTTTCAGATGTATGGAGATGGTTATCATGACTGCTTAGCCATCCTCAGCCAAGTTAGTCATAATAAATATTTTAATTTGCCACTATAAATCTCTTCATCTCTTTGAACTTACTTACCACTTCCATATTTAATTGGGGGGTGTGTGTGTGTATATGTATATATACATATATATGGCATTTATCCTACTGCTCTGGATGAAACGTCAACAGAGCACCTAGAGTGAAAATCTAGAAAGTTATAGAAAGTTATTACTCATCGGAAGA